CACACAGTGTGTTATGTGGAAAGACTGAGCAATTGCCTCAAGCCAAGTGTGGCTCCTGAGGTTCACAGCATTTTCTTAGCAACAAAATCTAAAATAGTTTGCCCTTCCTTCTTCGGCTTTCTAATCTAGAGTCCCAGCCCTGGGGATCCCTGGCCTTTCCTCCCCATTCAAGTGACCAGATCGCTGCCTGCCTGGGGGGGTGGGGGGGAGGGATGAACCACAGAGATGCAGAGGCATCTGCAGAAGGAAGGAACCATCCGGCTTCAGGCCGAGGGAACTTCCCTTTCCTCCAGCTGAAGCGCAGGGAGGGCAGAGCAAGGACAGGGCAATCCCAGCGGTGCCTCTCGGGGTTCATGCCATTCCTGGGGCAGAAGTTCCTCTGGGGACCAGGAAAGGGCTTCTTTTCTCCCAGCCCCTTTTTTAATATATTGTTCTGATATGTTATGACTCACTTACCTACTAGAAGTATTCCTACACTGCATTTCATGAAAAGAAAATTCCTTTCAGTGAAGTAAAAAGAACAAAATTGCAGACAAACAAGATGAAAGCAAACTATGAGAGAATGCCAGGGAGACCCTGAACGTCCCTTTCGTAATCCGTCTCCAGCAAAGTGCCCTCAGTCCTCAACCCCTGGAGGTGACCAAGGACGATACTGCCGTGGGTGTTATCAAAATCAGCTTAGGGATCAAGGAAGGGCTGTTGAGAAGAGGTAGCACTTAATCACAGAGAAGGTGGCCCCCTTGACCTGCACGTCTCTATGGTTTATAAAAACACGGTTAGCAGAGTAAATCATATATACTAACCCTCAGGAAGCATTCAAAAGGGCTCCACCGGAGGCCTATAGGGACAATAAGTAAAGCTACTTAACTATTCTCATCTTTAGGCAACAGTCAAGACTCCGGGGTCCAACCTCTGCCAGATCAACTGTGTAAGGAGCCCCTTCTGCCACCGATACCTCAGCCTTTCTCTTTCTCTTCTCCTCCTCCTCCTCCTCTCTGCGTATATATATATATATATGAGTGCTTTTTTTTTTTTTTTGAACACCCTGTCAGCCTAAATATGGCAGAGAGAGAAGTCTTTTGCCTGCATCAGCTTAATCCAAAGCCATCCACAGGCAGCAGTCGCTTAACTGCGACATCATATATGTGTGTGTGTGTTAAAAATTTCTTTGAAAATGTGATCCCTAGGTAAATTTTAATATTAAATTATTTTATTATATTCCCTGGTGCTCAAATATCAAAAACCTGAATGGGATATATGGAGCATTAAACTATTATTCACTTAAGAGTTTGGAGCAAAAGCAAACCTTCCTCTAATATGAAAGTTTTTAATAAATATGACCGATCATTACGTGCAATAATTCATTTGTTTTGAAGCTTACCTCCAACACTGTCTGTGAACAGTGTGAATTAGCACACAACTTCACTATGAATAATATCCTTTTATGAGCCCTAGTATTATACATAAAGGCATCTTCTCCTCATTCCTTCAGCGTCACAGCTTTCAACCCACAACAATGGCACTGTGTCAAAAGTAGGTTTTTTGTAGCTGTGAAAGTGGGGAAAGCTCAAAGGCAGCCCATGGAATATTGTATTTGTGTCCTGCGTAACGGGCCGATAAAATAACGGGCATAGAGGTTTTCTTCTATCCTTTGTTTCAAACTGGGCAGTGTTAACTAGTGCCAACAACTCTGGCTACTGACCGAGGGCTAAACTGCCCAACGCAGCAAGCAGGAGCGGCAACTGACCTGCTCACTCGCCTGCAGCAGCCCCCCCCCCGGCAGCCCTCACGCCTTCATGGCCTCAGAGGAGCCGCTCAACGATGGCAACCAGGACGCGAGCCGGCACTAAGCAGCACTGTCACATGGCACCGCACTTTAAGAGCACGTCACAGACATGGCAGGCCCAGTTCCTCTCGTTAAGCAAGGACTTCCTGTACACAGTTCAAGCTTAATTTTAGCCACTTCGTAGAAGTTACTTTTCCCATTTGAAGAAAATGTTTTGTGCAAGAAACAAGGGCTGTGTCCCAACACCATCAACCTAACATTTCCTAAGATGTTTCCAACATGGAACACTGAGACTAAACATACAGCACCTTTTGATAATGCATTAGGTTTCAATAGCTAAACAAAACATAAAACGAGGCACATGACAAGATGAGAGAGAGACCCACGGAATGGAATTTAAAAAGGCATTTTCTAGGAACCAAAATGTAAAACTGCTAACCGTTTTCTTTGTACCCCATTCCAAGAATGACTTCGGGTGCTCTGTAGTAGCGCGTCACGACGTAAGGTGTCATCATAAAGCTGGTCCCAGCTGTTCTGGCCAGCCCAAAATCTAGGATCTTCAGCGTGCAGTCAGCTTTCACTACAATATTGCTAGGTTTTAAATCCTTTGAAGAGAAAGATACGGAATAGGAGACCTCCAAGGAATATCAAGCAGACTACAAAAGAGAAATTAGCTCAACAACTATGACTGCACTCGGCCTCATCTATGAAAACAGCACCATAACTTTTGTAAGTTATTACATAGATTCATCTCTTAGCTGTCAGCTCTGAAATTTACAGGAAGGGCCACTGCTGGCCCTGGCCTTTCCTGGACGAGACGTAACACCATTTGCGCCGTTCATTTAATAAGGAACAGGGATTAGTCATGGAACCACTTACAAAGAAACTCCAGGCAGTAGTCCTTTCCTACCCTCCAGGAAATAAATTCAACACATTTGAGCTAACCGAAGGAAATTATGCAAAAAAAGTAAAGTCTTCCTCCAGCTGAGTTCAACTCCTGGCTTAGCCTTCCAGGTAAACCAGACAGAAAACAGGATGTCATCCGCACATTCTATTATACCTGGTAAATTTTTTGCCTTTTTTCCAGGATCCTTTTCAGAATTTCCAGTCAAATTTCTTTATAGTGCACAGCCCTAGCATTCCCTGATCCTCTCATTCCAAATGCTTCATCGGATCCAGCCCTGCTTAGCTTTTCCAATAACATCTCTGGTTGGCTACGAAGCACCTCCTTCAGGGAACTTCTTGGACATTTTTAATACAGGAGACAAATGAAATGTGCTTTTTTCACAGCAGAGTCGCCCTTAAATCCAGAACATTTAGAGATTAATTAAAAAGCATCCATCTTAGAATGCGGTCATTTACCATGCCCAGACTTAAGTTGTACTGAGAAGATGATTTAAGAATCATCAGTTAATTAAGAGCAAATGACACAAATACTAGTCAAGTGTTATATTTGAGAGGAAGCTTGTAAAACTGGCACAGATGGCCTTTCAGGTATATTAAAATCTGCCTAGCTTAATGGAGAAAAATTACACGACACGTGAAAGGGAAGGCGCGGTCTCACCCACCCTGTGTATGATTCCAGCCGAGTGAAGGTGCTTGATGCCGCACAGCATCTGGTACAGCAGGTAGGACATTCGTTCGTGGTCAAGCTCCATCTGGATCACTTGGCAGAGATTGGCGTCCATGAGCTCCATCACGATGTAACTTTGGAGGGGAGACAGAACAGGCAACAAAATCACCACAGAACATTTCACCCTATCGTCAGTTGTGTGTTACTACGGCTAACACAGCCTTCCTGAAATTCATACTTACACATCTTGGAATTCTTCCAGTGATTTCTGTGGGGTGAACACGTTTAACAGGCCAATTATCTATGAAGAAGAAGAAAGCACATAAGCACACAATTTTTGATTATCATTTATATAAAAAGTAAAATAAGCAGCAAAACTGGAAAATCTGACCAACTTATGTCTTAAGAGCACTAAAATCTCCATATTGTTTTCTTATTTACATTTAGGTTACAATACCAATCAATTTTATCCTTATTGTTAAAAATGCCCAGATTTAGAATTTGGTGGTCTACAATGGGAAAAGAGAAAATCCTTCTTGAGTAGAATTAGTGCAAAATTAACTTGAATAAACAAACAAGAAAACATCTCAGATGACAGGTGTATTATTGTGAGAAAAATAATACCTAAAAAGAGCAAGTGGATTATGCAGGCAAATCTGAGGCCTCTCTCTCTCTTCCTTAACTAGGCACAATTTCTAAAACATAAAGAACCAAGAGAAATTTGTTCAACTGACTCTCAATTTAACTTAATGCCAGGTATAAATAAATCTACAGAGCTACATAATATTCACCCAGAAAATTCAGACAAAAGAGACATGATCTTTGAAAAGAAACCTTTTGTAGTCTAGGGTTTTCCCCATGTAAAATAAAATGGCTGTCCTGTGCAGGATTCCAGTTAATTATTTGTTTTTCTAGAAAGTCAGGAAGTTCAGGGCTGAGAAATCATTCACTCTGGGCATATTTGAAGCCAAAGGAGAAGGTTCAAAAACCGCCCATCTTTTCTCAGCTAGCAAACAGTTGAGCCATGGCAGTTCTGGGGCCAGAGAGGAAGCAGGCAGGAGGCTCAAGACTCGCGTTCCCTCCTTCCCGGAGACTTTAGCTCCGTCGCTTTCTCCCGGCCCGTCCTACTAAGGACGGCATGGGAATAAAACGAGGGGAGACCTGATAGAACGGCTTTAGCCTTCAACAACAACAACAAAAAAAGGCAGGACAGATTTTCAATAAATCAATTCAAATTATAAATCCAACAGACTCAGACTCAACCCTTCCAAGACCGAGTGGCTGTGGTTGCCGGCGCCTCGGCATAGTCAGCTGATTCCATCGCTGTCTATAGGGGGTGAAATTTTGGCCCCCTCAGAGAGGGCACGCAACTTGGGTGTCCTCCTGGATCCACGGCTGACACTGGAAGACCATTTGTCGGCCGTGACCAGGGGAGCGTTTTATCAGGTTCGCCTGATTTACCAGTTGCGTCCTTTTCTGGACCGGGACGCTCTGCGCACAGTCACTCATGCTCTCGTCACCTCCCGCCTGGACTACTGTAATGCTCTATACATGGGGCTCCCTGTGAGGAGCATCCGGAGGCTTCAACTGGTCCAGAATGCGGCCGCGCGGGCGGTGTTGGGAGGGACTCGTC